TTTTTTGAGACAGAGTCTAAGGCTGTTGCCCTGGGTTGAGTGCCATGCCATCATCACAGCTCACAGCAACCTCCAACTCTTGGTCTCAAGCGATCCTCTTGCCTCAGTTTTCCTATTTTTAGTAGAGACAGGGTCTCACTCTTGCTCAGGCCAGTCTCAAACTCAGCTCAAGCAATCCAGCCACCTCAGCCTCCTAGAGTGCTAGGATTACAGGTGTGAGCTACCACACCCAGTATTTCTTAAGCTTAGATAACAACCCCTTTAATGAGAAAAGATTCTCAACAAATATATCAGTATTTTAATTTTATTTGGCAGAAGTGGATACATATATAATACAACAGCAAATGAGCTATAAAACTTTTATTGCTGGGTGGCACCTGTGGCTTAGTGAGTAGGGCGCTGGCCACATATACCAAGGGTGGCGGGTTCAAACCCAGCCAGAGACAAACTCCAACAAAAAAATAGTAGTCCCAGCTACCAGCTACTTGGGAGGCTGAGGCAAGAGAATTGCGTAGGCCCAGGAATTGGAGATTGCTATGAACTGTGTGACACCACTACACTCTACCGAGGGCAACAAAATGAGACTCTCTACAAAAAATACACTTTATCTCTGTGTAAATGTCATTTAGATATTTACAGAACAAAACTAGATATAAACCAGTTAAACTTCTTACCCTTAGTTATTAAGCCAAATGATTTTATGATTTAATACAAAGCCTCTAAAATCGATAAAATTTAAATTAACATTGTATATAATCTGCTTTTATAGTTTTGCTAAAACTAAATAACTTAATACTGAGCTTAATGGTGGAAATTTGGAACACCCTATTTCCAAATAGGGATATTTCTAGTCTGGTCCTGTATTTTTACTTCAATTTTAATTCAGAGAATACCTGATTTCATAAATATTTTGTACAAAAGAAGTATAAAAACTTGACTCGGCTCAGCGCCTATAGCTCAACCGGCTAAGGCGCCAGCCACGTACACCTAAGGTGGTGGGTTCGAATCCCCAGCCCGGCCCGCCAAACAACAATGACGGCTGCAACCAAAAAAGAGCCGGGCGTTGTGGCGGGCGCCTGTGGTCCCAGCTACTTGGGAGGCGGAGGCAAGAGACTCGCTTGAGCCCAGGAGTTGGAGGTTGCTGTGAGCTGTAATGCCACGGCACTCTACCCAGGGGGGGACAGCTTGAGGCTCTGTCTCAAAAAAAAAAAAAAAACTTGACTCAAGGCTCAGTGCAGCTCAGTGGTTAAGGCAACAACCATATAACACTGGATCTGGCAGGTTTGAATCCAGCTCAGGCCTGCCAAACAACAATGACAACTACAACCAAAAAATAGCTAGGCATTGTGGCAGCACCTGTAGTCCCAGCTACTCGGGAGGCTGAGGCAAGAGAATCGCTCAAGCTGAAGAGTTTGAGAGGTTGCTGTGAACTGTGATGCCATGGCACTCCACTGAGAGCGATAGTGAAAGTCTGTCTCAAAAAAAAAAAAAGCTCAGCAGCTATACTCTTGACAGAGGATAATCAGGCCCCACATGCAGACTGCCAGTGAGCAGTTTTGCCACTTCCGTGAAGGGGCCACATTGTAATTGTTAGTAAGTACATTTAGCAATTCAGTGCCATTTGTTCTGTATTAATGACTATCTAATCTGTTACAACTGGAACCAAAACAAGATTTTTTCATTTTCGTTACACCTATCTTCTTATAAATGAAATGAACTGTTGCTAAAGCCTTCCAATTCTATAGCAGTCTAGAACTCTGAGCACTCTGTAGGTGAGCACTTTGGAGATGAGAATGCCCCATGCTATATTGCTTTTTATCTATTCATATTGCTAGGGGTACTCTTTGTTAGAGTACGTGTTGGCATTCTTTGCTCTGTACAAGTATGACTAAACACAATGCTTGTTTATCATAGATAATCAAAGACCCTTGAAAAGATACTCCTGGTCCTGTGAAAAACACTGATGGGGGAGGGTTCTGAGCATTTGTAATCCCACAATGTAAAATAAGCTATTTTTAGGACAAACTTTTAATGTTATTGACTCTAAAGTCTTTTGCTTTACTCATTCATGTATAAAGCTGGAGAAAATAAGAGGAGTTGTCCTAGTGGGCTAGTTGTTGTAACCAGGGCCAATTGGTGTAGCGTGGGTGCAGACTGAGGCCTGGAGCTGTGTTCCTTGGGGAGGTAGGTAATGACAGGGAGACTCTCTTGACAGCACTGAGAAAGTATCTTGAAAATGAAGCTAGTTAAACCATGTGTTTGCCTTCTTTTTGTCTAAGCCTTGGATATTATAATAAATTTTGTATTTTGGCTTTGTTGGACTAATTGGACTTCTTTCCCCCTGCAGTGAGAGGGTCCAAACCTGGTAAGAATGTCCAGCTACAAGAGAATGAAATCAGAGGACTATGCTTAAAGTCTCGTGAAATCTTTCTCAGTCAGCCTATCCTATTAGAACTTGAAGCACCACTCAAAATATGTGGTAAGTTTTGGGCACACTAAGTTATCTTTGGTTACATGATTCATTGAGTCAAGGATATGTTGATGAACTTATATTAGCTAGCAGAATCATTTCTTATTTATGAATAACATGGAATTACTTAAAATTCAGTTAATAGCTTTAGAATAAATATCTCCAATAGACTTAGTAGTTAAATGTTCTTCAGCTTTTAAAAAAATAACCTCACTGATGAAGGAATATAAACATTCAGAGGGGAAAAAAATGAAGCTAAGAATGGAGAGCTATGAATAGGTCTAAGTAATGTGAACATATACAGTTTATATTTAAGCTTAAAGCAAACTGATTATTTCTAAAAATAGAACTTCCTTGATACTGGTTTGTGGTTCTATTTTTTTTAATAAAAGCAGAAATCTGTGTTTTAACTCAGCACAATGTAGAAACTAAACTTTATTCATTTGAATAATATTATTCTAGCATATTTGTCTATACTGACAAAATTTCATGTGTACTTTTTTAAAGTAAGTGTTCTTGGATATTATCTGGCAGGGAGAAATAGAAAGCATGGGTGGGTGTAATGTGTCTGCTTTTGTTCCGTGGGGCCAAGGCTCACTAAAAGTACAGTAGTTCTGACATAGTATCCAGAGTGAGCTGTCAGAGATATGATACTGATCGGCCAACCTGGAAGGAAAAACCTGTTACTTGGCAAGAAGGCATGCCTAGACATAATACTCCTTTCCACAAAATAAATTCTTAATTAGTTGAATTATGTGTGAGGTTCTGGACATAAACACTTAAAATTGATGTGAGTTTGGAAATTCCTTTGTGTTGTCAAATTCATTACTAGAGGTCCATGCCGTGGCAGAATTAATATTTAAGAACATTTTTACAAAATTTTGTTAACGTTAAGCTATAAGTACAGAAACACTATGTAACAAATTCTTGCTTCTAGGTGATATCCATGGACAATACTATGATTTGCTTCGACTTTTTGAGTATGGTGGTTTCCCTCCAGAAAGCAACTACCTGTTTCTTGGGGACTATGT